TTAGCCAATGTGTTTTTAAATGGTTACAGAAATATCTCCATTATCCCCAGTGAAGTCAGGCTTAAATCAGGCTAAGCATTAAAATTAATTTTACAGAACTAGAATTCCTTGAGTAACAACAAATCTTCACCTTCATTTTATAGAGAGAACAAATTTAATATAAATGTTATTGTTCACTTGTCAAAACAAAATGATAAAACAGCAGGATTTCAAAATATCACCCACTGGGAAACAAGAATGCTTAGGCATTGCTTATGAATGGTAAACTGGCAAAGGCTTTCTGAAAATCAATCTGCCAATACTTGGTCAAATTAAAAATGCATGTACCCAATGACCTACCTTACCAATATACAAACATATATGTATGCATATATCCCATAGAAATTGGTGATAAGATTCATGACCATTATAGTCATTGACTATGGTAGTGAGAAGATGAAGCATTGCTGACAATACATGAGCACTGTCCATGATAAAGGGATTTTGGAGGTAAATTAGCTAATGTAAAATGTGGTAGATATGCATTATGAATTTTATACAACAGTTAGAACCAATAAACCAGATGTGCATACTTAAACATGCATAGATATTATAAACATAGAGTTGAATGCATAGCAAAGGTACATAAAATACTTCTTGAGTAAAATATTTATATAAAATAAATAGCAGATAAATTAAATTAATAAAGTAAATTAACGGATAGTTATAAAGCAAATTTATATATATATATTCAATATGTATATATTAAAGAAATATATGTGTGTGTGTGTGTGTATATATATATATATTCAAAGACATATATCAAACCATAAGAGTAACTTTCTATGGAGTAGGGAAATGAAGTTGAGATCTTGGATAAACAATTAACCAAAAGGAATGAATTGGCTTCTTGATAATAATGATAATGTGCAATTAACTGGAGTAGTTCACTATACATGAATATCATCATTGCCATTAGATACACTCAAAAAAAATAATAATAATCCCCTTTGAGCTGAAAAGGATAATTTCTTTTACTCTTTAACCTTCTTTTTAAATTTTCCGGTGTGATTTGAAAACATCCATCTAGAGGCACACACCTCCAGGAAATCATTCTAAGAAAAAACTACAAACAAGCATTACTGGAGACAAATCTAATACTCAATAATAGGAAACAATTTCAAAATCATAATTTCATTTAGTCATTAAAACCACAAGACAAAAGGATTCGTGAAAGAGAAAAATAGTTATTACATTAAATAAAGAAATGCATAAAAGCCAGCGTGAGTGTTATGATTCCAATTTTGTTGAAAATGTGCACATAAATAAAAAGACAATAAAAAAATACACCTCAAAATATTTACAACAGTGAGTGTCGCTTTCTTCGTTGTGGTTTTCTGTGTATTTCAAAGCATAGTGAAATTTTTCTAAGCAATCTTTTCAAATTATTTTTATTGATCGTAATACATCTTTTTGAGATCTTTATCTTCCAATTTTTCTACTGAGATACTTTGCTTTTTTACATTTTTATGAATTCTGGCTACTAAATTTTTGTGGACTATGTGTGGCAAATATTTCCTCTTAGTCTGTGATTTACCATTTTACTAATCTTCATAGTGTCTTCTGTCATGTACAAATTTTGTTTCAATGCCATCAAATATATCAGTCTTTTTATTTATACTTCATGCTTTTTTTGCTTCTTGGTTAAGTAATACACCCACAGTCACAGGGTCATAAAGATACATTTATTTTACTTTATTTTTTAAAAGAAAATGATGTTTATTTGGGGCATTGCAATGGGAATACAAGTGTCATAGTAAACTCTGAGCATGTGTGTATTCAGGAGGTAAAAAAAGACAAAGAATTTTAAAAGACAAATGAGGAAGATTACATGATTTTCTTAGTATAATTATATTTGGCTACAAGGATGAATAACAAGGGTGGTACTTGTCCAAGGTTCGATAGGCAGTTGCTGGGTAGATGTCTTCACGAGTATTTGTGTGTGTGTGATATTGTAATGGCCTTTGTGCAAAGTTAAGATTTTTGCAGTCTTCTGTGATAGTTCTTATTACCAGTATCCATGCATGAGAGCCATTCCTTCATAGCCTTTCTTGGCTTACTTGTCAGTGTTTATTTATTTATTTTTAACGCAAGAGACCCTATTTTGAATTTGACAGCTTTAACACTACGTCTCCATCATTGTTTTCTTTTTCTTTCAGAGAAAAATTCATTTAATTCAGTGACTTTCTCTCTCCCCCAGAACTTTATCTTTTTTAAAAATTTTAATTTAGTTTTTTCATTGTACATGTTTGTCGGGTACAATTTGTTGTTTCGATGCATGCGTATATTGTATAATGATCTAATCAGAATAGTTAGCAAACCTGTCTCTCAAACATTTATCATTTCTTTGTGGTTACGACACTCAAGATCTTCTTTTCTAGCTATCTTGAAATATACAATATGATTAGCTATTGTCACCCTGGGGTACCAGAACTTTTTCTTCCTATCTAACTGTAACTCTTTATAATCTGCCAACCTTTTCCAAGTTGCCCCTTCTCCCTCCCTTTCCCTGCCTCTGGTGACCACTGTTCTACTCCCCATTTCTCTCTTCTTTTCCCTTTTTAATTTACTTTCTTAATTGACTCATGATCTTTGTATATATTTATGAAGTAAAATATGATATTTGGGTACATTCATATTGTGTGCAATGATCATATCAGGGTGCTTAGTATACTCATCACCTCAAACATTTGCCACTTCTTTGTGTTAGGAACATTCAATATCAGATACACAGCACTTTTCTTTTTTAAAAAATGTTTTGTTTTGTTTTTATTGGTTATGAATATTCATGCAGTACAAAGCAAATTGTCACCACTCGTGCCTAAGATGTGATGGCTGGATCCATACGGGCAGCATGTCCATTATCAATAATTGTGATTATACCCCATGCCCCCACCTAGTTATCCCCTCAATTATCCCCAATCTCCCTCCCCATCCCCCTTTCCCCACTCCACTTTGTATCCCTAGGTATGTTCTCTCCCTCTGCAAGTCCAACACACCACTGTGGTCTTTCTTTCCTTTCTTCTTTATCGCTTAGCTCCCACTTATGAGAGAGTACGGGTGATATTTATCCCTCTGTGCTTTGCTTATTTCACTCCATATAAGTTTCTCCAAGCTCATCCACGTTGTTGCAAATGGGAGAATTTCATTCTTCTTTATGGCAGAGTAGTATTCCATGGTGTATATATACCACATTTTCTTCATCTAATCATCCGTTGAAGGGCATTTAGATTGGTTCCAACTCTTGGCTATTGTGAATAGAGCCACAATCAAGATGGGAGCGCAGGTATCCCTTCGACTTGATGATTTCCATTCCTTTGGGTATATACACAGAAGTGGCATTGCTGGATCATATGGCAGTTCTACCTGTAGTTGTCTGAGAAACCTCTGTACTGTTTTTCGATAGCTGTCTACTAATTTACATTCCCACCAACAATGTATAAGGGTTCCTCTTTCTCCACATCCTTGCCAACATTTGTTATTCTCTGTCTTTTAGATAATAGGCAGTCTAACTGGGGTGAGATGATATCTCACTGTGGTTTTGATTTGCATTTCTCTGATGATTAGCGATGTTGAGCATTTTTTCATATGCCTGTTGACCATTTGTTATGTCTTCTTTTGAGAAATGTCTATTCAGTTCCTTTGCCCATTTTTTAATCAGATTATTTGTTTTTTTACTATAGAGTTGTTTGAGTTTTTGTACATTCATGGTTTGCAAATATTTTCTCCCATTCTTCAGGTTGTCTTCTCACTCTGTTGATTGTTTCCTTTGCTGTGCAGAAGCTTTTTGTTTGATATAATCCCATTTGTGTATTTTTGCTTTTTTCCCCTGTGTTTCTGAAATATTATTCATGAAGTCTTTGCCCAAACCTATGTCCTGAAGTATTTCCCTTCTATTTCTTCTAGAAGACATGAAGACATATTCTATGTTAAGTATAATAATGTTTAGCTTTTTTACATTTTATTGTACAACTGACTTGGATTTTTCATAGTGTGAACTAATGGCCTAATTTTGTCTTCTGTGGTCCCAGTATGCAATTGTTTATTCTTAACCTACTAATTAGTAATGCTATTTCTTTCATATATGAAATTTTTAAAAATGCCTACATGGTCTGTTTTTGGAAGCTTTATAGTCTGCTTCACCCTTCTATTGATTTATCCCTACACAGATAACACTCTATTTTAATTACCTTGACTTTATAACAAGTTTTACTCTCTCCTCGAGCAAGCACCTCTATTCAACTTCTTTTTTTACATTGTCCATGTATTCTTAGGTATTTTTGTCTTCTATATTAGTTTTAGGTTAAGCATTTAGCTTTCTTTTATGAAAAACAATTTGGGGGATTTATTGAAATATCATCAAGTACATACATTAATTTGAGGCGGACCAGACAACTTTGTGATTTTTAGATTAGCCATCTGTGGATATGGTACACCTTCCCATTTATACAGATCCCCGTTCATGTCATTCAATTACTATTTAAAAAATAACTTTCCCAAAATTAACAGTTTTATTTATAGGTGCCTTACGGATTATGTTAGCATAATAAATGGAATCTTTTTTCCTCCTAACATTATCTTATTAAGTATGGCAAGATATGGAGATTAGCAGGGGAGGGTAAAGTAGAGTTGGAACAATTTTAATATGCACACACATATATGCTTCATGCTAGTATATTTTTGTTACTTATTCTTTATTATAAATTATAATTTACATGGAAATGAATTCAGAGAAGTTCCAGTTATTCAGTCAGCCCCCAACACATGCAGACTTAGCCACATGTATGCATTTGGAGAGTAAATTCATAATGATGCAGAAAATAGAGTTGTGTATATATTTCAGAATCTGCAGAATCTACTAAACTGTCTTGCTTGTATAAATAGTTTAATATTTTCTTATATTGTCAATGTATATAATCATATTTACTGCTAATAAAAAGAGTGTTTTTTTTTTCTTTTTAAAATACCCCACTTCTTTTGTAGCATTTAAAAATGTACACTCTGAACCTAACCACCTGGGCTTCGTTCCAGATTTGCACATTCTAGCTGTGTGAACAAGGACAATTTGCATAACCTCCTCATGCAGCAGCTTTCTCATCAGCACGTTGAGGATAATGGTGATACTTAGCACCTTGGGTTGTGATGTAGAATATATGACCTAATATACATAGAACTCTTAGAAAAGAGCTTGGTACACAGTAAGCACTAAAAAGTACTTACTATTATTGTTACTGAGTGGGCTTATACCCTTAAAACCATATTGAACAATGGTTGCAGTGGCAGAAATCTTGTCTTATCTATGATTTTAATGGAAACGTTTATAAAATTTCACTATAAAGTAAAATGTTAATTGTTGTCTTTTTCATAGGCATCTGCAGCACATCACAAAATGTCTATCAATTCCCCACCCCAACATGACTTTCAAGATTCTTCCATCAGCACGTGGAATAAATATACTCACCTGTTAAACCTGGACTATCCTTGTGATTTGCTCTGAACAATAGAATAACATGTTTCCACTATCTCTTTAGCAATTTGACTCTTTTGCTGTCACGTGAATAAACTTGAGCTAGCCTGCTGGAAGATAAAGTGACCATAGAGACTAGAGACAAGCCTTCCAAGCTGAAGCCATTATAAACCAACTAACCTGAGAGCTGACTGCAGATGTATGAGTGAGCCCAGCCAAGGCCAGAAGACTCACCAGCTATATTTTGCCAAATTTGTAACATAAAGAATTGTGAGGCAAATAAATTACTATTATATTAAGCCACTAAGCTTGCTGATGATTTGATGCATAGAGGAAGTAACTAATTGTTACAGTACCCTTTATTTTATATTCTTAAATTTTATTATAAAAATTCTAGCAAATAATACTATAAGCACCCATTAAAACATGTCTTTATCTACCCATCTACTCCCCTGCTAATTTTTTAAAAAATATTTTAAGGCAAATCCTACACAAATGATATTTTCATCTGTGCATACATCAGTATGTATCTAATCAATAAAGATTCTTTTTATAAAAAAATATCACAATACCATTATCTCATTCAGCAAAATTAATAATTCCTAGTTATTGTCTGATACCTATTTTATGTTCAAGTTTCTTGATTGGCCTATGTTAAACAAAATTTATGGGAAGCCATTGATTTAGACTGAGCTTCTTCGCTAGGCACCAACCCACCAAACCTAAATGGAGTTATCTGTATTAAGTACCACAGGATCAAACTGAAACTTAAAAAAAAATAAAGAAAGAAAAAAAGTCTCAAAACAGGCCAGTTTAAAAAAAAACAAAATAACAAAAAAATAGGAGATTCACAGTAACCAATTAAAAGGAGCCCAGTCTACCTGAGCTGGAATAGGAAGGAAGTATCCACAGATAAACAACCTGCTTTTTGCACTATGCTGTAAGCTGTTTTGCAAAAATTAATAGTTCCAACAGAAATTCTTCACATTTGTAGACAGGTTGTTGCCATATTCATGAATCCCTAATAAAAGCTAATTAGATCTTTAAAACTCAACTTGTCAAAATTTTGTTCTGTGACACCCATAAAATCTATCTTAAAGATATTTGTGCAAATCAGACTGTCGATTTACTTGGCTATCTCTTTAGACCCTCTTAATCTAAACAGTGTCCCCAGCTTTTGAAACATGCATATATTTGCTGAAGAAACCAGGTTATTGTACTCTAGACTATCTCTAATTCTAGATTTTGCAGTTTTTTTCTTATGGTGTCATTTCATGTGTTCTTCTACCCCTTTCCTTTTCCATAAACTCTTTTTATAATATTAATCCCAATTTCTAATCATCTTCTATAAGAGTATCATTGAACTTTTTTCCCCTATTGTAGGTATTCAAGGAGAGCACAGCCCTTTTTCATATTTTCTAGACTTTTTCATTTATACTTTCTGGTGTCTTTCTATAACATACTACATAAAAAGGATAATTGGAGAGTGACTTCAAATTGTTGGAAACCATATTTTTAAAAGGAAAATAAGTTTACTCATCACTTCAAGTAGAATGCTTCAGTTTGCATTGGCAAAGAATGTTTTTGATAATACCAATTTAAAACATAGGGAAAAACTCTACTGAGGGAAAGGAATATAAAAATTCACTACATTGCAGTGAGATTTCTAATAACATGGACATATATTTAATTTTTTTTTAGTTAACTGTCAAGCAAAGATGTTACTCCAAAGCTAAAATGTGGCTGCTGTATAAAATCAAGTCAATGCTTCATTTATTTATAAATTAAATTCTCGATTTCCAAAAACCTAAAATAAATAAGATTTTCATTAGGTGGTATATTTCCACGCAGTTATTTAGAATAACTAAACAGTTTGGTGGAAGGTAAGAAAAAGAACTTTTTAGAAATTTTTACAATAGAATAGCATATATGTTGCTAGAGCAAAAATTACAAAGAACATCTAACTGAAGTGAAACAAATTCACATTTTTGTTGTTATGCACATAGAACATACCAGAACAAGAGAAAAAGTAATTTCGTGATGAACACCTGTGTAATTTCTGCCACTGAATATCAAAAATGATATAGAGATCAGGAGGTAAGATAAGTTCTGATTTGGGAGGTGCTGATACGGGCAATGAAGAGATACACACATAACCTCACAAATATTCATGCACAGACCACCTCCCCACCCACTCATACACACACAGCTCTTTGGTTCTTGTTCTCAGACAACCTTTCAAAGTAACGAGTGGTTGTGAATCAGATGGTTCAATGGCTTGTTCTATATTCACCTTTAAAACACATTTAACTCTCTGGCATATATGATTTAAATAAAGTTTCAGTGTGTCTTCTATGTAGCCCAGGATGCTGAACTGCAGAGGTGTTTTTACCCCACATGTAATATGACCTGAAAAGAATGATGCTTGACCATAAACTCTTCCATACTGCATATAGCAGAGAAACATGCAGCAGATCAAGATCTCCACTGGCTTCTTCTCATAGTATACACCTCAACACTCTGTAACCTAATTATTTTATTTGATTTTCTTGATGTTACTATTGACATTTCTTTTGTAAATGTGCTGCTGGAAAAATCTATTCACATATTCAATGGAAAGAAAAAACTTAAGATACCTTGTAATTTTTATACTTTTCAACCATCTTTTGACAATACCAGCTTTACTGTAAGCTTTTAAATAATAATATAAATATATATTAAATTAATATTTAAAAACAAATTTAGTAAAATGACCTCTTTGTGTCTATATAGAAATAAGAGTTGTGTTAAGAGAAAACTACTGGTTTTACTCCAAATTCATATGCAGAGTTAAGACAATAAAATAATTTCTTACAGACTCTGTTTTCTAGAAATATCCACCCAAAGCAGGCTAGAAAATATTAGTGTTTTGGGAGTGGGAAAAAATTCCAATTTTCATTAGCAAATAACGTAAAAAAAATTAATAAAATAATGATGCAAAGTAAGTTTACTCTCATTATAACAAATGATGTTTGCTTTGAGATTACAGACACTGCCAGGTGAATAAAAATTAATGTAGTTTTAATAAGCCTGAAATTTTGTCAGATTCCAGTAATCTGAAAGTATTGCATGGCATTAATCTTATGTGTGGACAGTATGCCGTGACTAATCCACAAATAGGAATCTCTCTGTATGCAGGAAATAGTGCATGAAAGGTGGTCAAATGACTGTATAGTTCCATTAGCCTGAAAGGGTATTGTAGTTTGGAGCAGCAAGAGAT